AAGAAGAAGAAGAAAAAGAAAAGCATGACGAGCAAGAGGAAGAGGCGTATCGGCAATCCCGCCTAGTTGATTCGCATTCAAAAGACGACAAAGAACGCACAGAACGAAAAGACCTAAATTATATTGCTTATGACAGCACAGACGAGTTCCACTACGAAACGGACGATCTATACCAGTCATATGAGAGCGATTACGCAGATTACGAGAGAAAACTAAGAGAAAAGATGGAGAATACTGACTCTCCAACAGAAAGTGAAAGCGAGAGTGAGTTTCACGCAGCACCGATAAGAGACCAAGAACGAGACAGTATTACTGTCACTAGTTCTACAAGCTCTCCTGCTCTGTTTGAAGACGACGACGACGACGACGACGACGACGACGACGACGACGATGCTGATTACACGACAAGTCAAGATGATAGTACAGAAGAGAAAGAGAGCCATGAGGAAAACTTGTCTGTTGATGACAGTTATTACACTAGTACCGCAGACAGTGGAAGTAGTATTGAAACATATTACAGCGATAGAGACAGAGAAGACGATAAAGTCACTGTGTCTACTTCGAGGGCTGTTACTGCCTTGTCTGRCCTTCAAGACACCGGCCAAGACCTCGAAAACAATGACACAGAAGAGAAAGACGATGAGAATGATTTTGAAAGCCAACTCGAGACAAGATCAAGGTCAAGATCAAGACCCGATACAAGGTTAATTAGCGGCCAGTCTGACAGCCCTCGTCACAGTCCTCTCAGTGAAGTCGAGCGGAGGTCATATCAGTTTGACGAGTGTGAGGAAACCATCTTTGATATGATGGAACTACATTTCTCAAGCCCTGAACCCGAACTTTCCGCAGGCAGAAACACAATGGAAACCAAAGTTAAGAGGAGAGCTCACGGCGGGAATCAGAAAACTACGAAGCTTAGAAGAGAAAAAATGAGAAGGAGAAAAGAAATAAAAAGACTTAGACTCGAACTTTATCGCGATTCAGAGACGGAGGATGATGAAGATACGTTAAAGAAACAAAGAGCGCGGGAAAAAAGGAGAAAAACTTCACTCAAAAATATCAAACGAACGAGAACTTATTCCGATTTTTTCAAAAACGAAGGTGAGAAAAATAAAGCGTCAAGTATTGAGCCAAGGGAGACATCGTTTAGTTCCAGTTCGGGTGACGAATGGCGGGAACGAGTCTGTACCTCTCAGGAAGTGACGTCACCGAAGTCCAGCTATGTCACTAAAACCCGTAGTGACGTTACTAGAGACATCAGCGCCGCATCCCAGAATACCTCATATTCCTCCTCGGCATATTTGGACGAAGAAAGCGATTACGTCAGCAGTCGAGATCTACCTTCGCCTCCACCAATCAAAGAAGTGAGAAAAATATTCTGGCCAATCAGTGGTAGGATTAAAGAGCTTCCACCAATCAGAGCGCAAGCCCTGTCTCAAGAAAGGAGGATTCGTTTCCTGACTCTTGGAAAACTCGGTAAGTTGTGACTCTGACTTGTCTTTTTAATTATCCTCTTTTACTCCGAATAAGGACTAGCGTCTGCAAAGTTAGTAAGTTTTTTCATCTTTTCACGGTGTAAAATTTATCCTTTAATCATTACTTTTTAATTATCGTATAGTGGACTCCCTGTGGTGAAGGGTGCCTGATTTATCCTTACTTCATGCTTACTGCGCATGCTCGAAAAAATGAGACTCAATCTCATTCCCAGAACATATCCGTTAGTCTTGGTCAGCACCAAGGTCGTTTCCCGGTGCTGACCAAAGAAAACGCTCTAGGAAAGGCTCTAGTGACGAGATTGGCCAGAGACTAGTCTCTGGCATTTCGTCGAGCATGCGCAGTTAAAATAATATTTAGTCTTTACTTGTCTCCGCTGTTTTTGTTTCGAAACTATGATTAGCGACTTAAAAAGTAAACATATGAGCTCAGTAAACTGCTAATATGTGATAAATTTAAAGATGGTAAAATTATGATATGAGTTGGGTTTTTTTTACTGAATCATTGAAAAAACACGACGGGCGTTCATGTAATTATACTGATCTCTCAGAGAATGTAAATTTCATTTATTTCTACGACRCAAAAGAGGCGATGACAATTCGATTTTACTTAGGAAACCGTGTTAATCGTTAGGTGCTATTCTTGTAGTAACGACCCTGGTGCGTCAGCTCATGCCACCTTCGGGGCACTGAAGCGGCGTCGGTTCTAGAAAATGTCATTATTTTCGGATAAGTGGTCAAAAAAACTGAGAGCTCAAAGGAAAGAGCTACCAAAATAAAAGAAATGGATAGCACAAAGAAATGGTAAAATGAATTAGCCTTGCGGAAGATTGCAATATATAGGGAAAGGAGGAGAAGAGAAGAGAAGAGAAGAAAAGAGAAGAGAAGAGAAGAGAAGAGAATAGAAGNTGCCCTGACTTAGATCAGCCCAGAGGTTGTTTCAGGGTTTGGTGTGTGAGTTAGCCATGCCCAGACAGATGAGCCGTTGTCTCTTTTTAAAAGCCTGACCATAGAAGATTACAAAAAAAAAAAAAAAAAAAAAAAAAAAAAAAAAAAAAAAAAAAAAAAAAAAAAAAAGGGACTGAAATCATCGTGGGGAAGGATCAACATGACCTAGGGAACAAACTGACATGGATAAGAAATCGGAAGTGAAATGAAAAAACCGAGCTAAGACTATAAAACTGAAAGGCTGATCTCCTGTGCACTATAATGGACTCTTTGAAAACCGGCCGCCAAGGAGTCTTTGAGTATCCTGCAATAAAATTCCCTTCCTAGTCCGGTTCACCTGGCTCTCATTCTAAGCCTTATTCACAAGATTAAGGCTTAAAATTCTTATGAACCCATTAAAAGAGGCCACTTTACCGATAGCGGAGGCTTTTACGAGTTCTCCATGAAAAGGGAAGATAATCCCAAGAATCGAGACAAAAAGTGACCGCAAAAAACTAACCTCAATCTGATGAAATGAAAAATAAGTCTGGCGTCCTCAAAATTCTAAGTTCATAAAAACGGCACTATAGAATAGGGATTATCTGATTAAAGACTACTTGAAAAATTTTTTAGAAATGATGTGAGAGAATGATAAGGACTGGGCTCCCTGTGGAGGGAGTTTGAGTGACATGTGAGAGAAGAGTCGTGAGAGCACGAGAGATGTGTTTGGAGAAAAGGATGTTGTGAGAGAGAATCGGAATTGTAAAGAGGATAAACTCGTTATTTGGATTAAATCTTAAAGCAGGAGTTGGAGACTATATTCATAAATTATCGTACAAATGATAATAATTTGAAATGCTTCTTATCAAAATTTAATATTTCGTAAAAGAATACTGACTTTGGCGCTACTCTCTGACGGATTTATTGATTGTTTTTGAAAAGTTTATCTAAAGTTTTTCTCATTACTTTTCTTTAATTTTTCTTCTGATAGTTGTCTCTAGATTCCTTTTAACCTTTAATTTTTATAGGACACTTGCTTTTAAATTTAAAATACCGAAAAGAGTAAAAAAGCGTAAAAAATGCGCGCACTATGTTTTCCTACATAATTCCCCTTGGTATCCATTGTCGTTGATACGTAAAAAAAATCCTCGTAATTGTATTTGTATTTTTACTCTTTCATATTTTGGAAGACATCAGATCTTGACCTCAAATTAAAAAAAAAATAAATAATAATTGAATTATTATGTGATACACTCCACCGGCGCGGCGCTCAGCGGTGATTTTATTTGGTTACCATGTCAACAAAGCCGATGTTTTTTGACAACGTGACGTCACAGTCAATATTCGACAAAACATTAGAGTCGGAGTGGCCATGAAACTCAGTCTTTCTAGACTTCATTTTGGCCGTATTTTAGTTCCGATCTCTCGTTAAATAGTCTTAGGCCATTGTTATTAGTTTTATTAAGGATTTGTTATGTCCTTAGAGGTTCAAAGGGCTCCTAAAATTTCTCAAATCGGTCTTGATCGTAGTGACAATGATTTGCAATTTTGCCTTGATGAGTCCGGCGTAATAGCCACCAAAAAACCTCGCTCTAAACCTGAAAATATCTCGAAAAACAAAGAACCGATATCCAAGGATAAAATACAAGATATGGCATCGAATCATTCGGATTATTACGACAGTTACGACGACGATTTTGAAGATGCCAGTCAAGAACGAAGTCGTTCAAGAAAAGAACCAGGGAGAAGACGTTCTTCTTATCTTTCTCGCGATTATACTCGTTCAGATATCTCTGTTACTCCCCCAAGACGAACTAAACGAAATACAGACTCTAGAAGAAACTCTTTAACGTCTTACAGAAGCGCTTATGGAAACAGTCGAGGTAAAATCCACTGTAGTTAAATATTAAATCCGCGCTGAGGTTAATATTTGTTCAGCGTTTAAGTCGTGACATAGAGATTTCTTCGTTTCAGCTTTGGTTGTTGTAATAAGTACTTAAAATACTAAGTTCATGTGTCAAAATTGTATAATAAATGTAATTTAGATCTACTGTTACGAAACCATTTTTTCCTTTTTTTGTATTCCAATTTGGAATTCTGCTTTGTTTCCCACGGTTTCAGCTGTATATATCAGGTCAAGATCAGATCACGGGATTTTTTTATTATATCAAATTTACTCTAACCTAAGAGAATCGGAAGGATATAGCTCACTTTATCCTTATTCTTAAAAATATTTACGATCAAAGATTTTTATCCGGTGCAAAATTTTAAAAAACATTGCAAATTTCTGTCTGTTGTCCCTGGTAACCTTGTACATATTTTAACGACTCAAATAATCAACTAAAAGAAGAAGAAATCATGCTGTTCTCCTTATTATTAACAGAAGATACTACTGACATTTCTATTGAATTCACAAATAAGCACCTGTCGTAAGTAGGATTATAAGAATTAGAGGTACCTACAGATAGTATCGTCTAAGTTTATCATGTTGATGGTTGTATAAGACTATTTCTCTCAATGGATATTCATCTGTGTTGGGAATTCAGAAAAATTGAACGAATTTTGAACTTTTGAACAACAATTATTAACTAAAAGTTTCAACCAATGCTTCGGCTTCTTTAGTTTATCAGAATGACGTTAATTCAGTCAGATAACTCTCTAGGGAACCTTTTGCATGAGTGCAAATAAGTTTGGAGTACATTTTTGTGAGTCTGTGGCTTTCTCAATCTCAGCTGAGACTGGGTTGGTAGGTGTGAATATAAATAGCCTCTTTCACTCCATGTTCAAGGTTCACTAGCTCTGTTGTGAGGATCTTAACCCCTTTGATGTCAACTCTGTGCCCTGTTGATTAAACGCTAATATGTTGGGCAACTTCCGAGTTTGAAACCTTACAACCCAGTCTAAACCAATAGAGACAATACCTTTATTCTTGATTTTATCATGCTCTTATAAATCTAAATTTATTCTTAATTCAATGATTTACAGTTAATTTGTGGGTTTATTTTTTCTAGCTACCAATAAACCGTCGAAAAAGAGAACCAAAAAAAGCCAATCTGCAAGTACAAGAACTGTGAAAACAGAGGAAACATCCAACATGGTGCAAAGGATTTTGTCAGCAAACAGAAACAAGATTACTAAGCTCTACAATACAGTGGAAGAACTCCAACATGAAGTTGATAACTTACGGCAGGAAAATAAAACTTTAAAAAGATTGCATGTTAAGCAGGAAAAAGAACTGAAACAGATCGAAAAAGCCGAGGCAAGCTTGCCTCAACTTTTACAGAGACACAGTGCTGAATTACGGACTTATCGTGAAAGATTAAAGAAAACAAAAGGGGACATGACAAAGAAGGAAAGGGAGTCACATACTCATGACTTGGAAATAACCAAACTTAGAGATAAAGTCCAACACTATAAAGCATTGGATAATGACAAGAAACTTGAAGAAAGGGCTGCTTTAGCAAGAAAACTTGAAAAAGTGGAGAAATCATTGTCTGAGAGAGATAAAAGAATTATGGTAATTTAAAATTATAAATGAAAACACGTTTTGTTTGAATGTAATGTTTCCATACTTCACTCCTCTTGATAAGAAATCTGTTGCTCAAGTTACACAGATCCAATTCTGACCTTTTCCAAAACCGATAAGAATGAAAAAAAAAGAAGTAATATTCAAGAGCATAAGATGTTGTTTCGGATGTGAAGAAGGTCATTACTTCCAAACAAAAAAGGTTGATAAGAAAAGTACACTCATTTTGTTTAATTTCTGTGACCAGCTAGCACTCTACCACATCCATTAGATACCTTATGATTTAAATCTTAACAGTCAATCAAAAATTACTCACTCAGGCAGACTGTTAAATATTGTTTTTGTCGAGCCAAAAGTCATGTGATAACAGGTGTCTTGTATGGATTTGCTGGGGTTAGTTACAGAAAAGTGTTCAAATCTTTAAGTGAACCCATAAATTTTTAAACACTGACAGTGTGCATGCTTAATCCCTTTAAGTCAATTATTGAAGTGCATAAAGTTTATAAGAACAAAGTCTTGAAAATATAAAAAATTGGATGTGTRGATTTTGTTAATTCAAGCTAGAGAACTAGAATTTTTCAAGTACAATAATACAATAAAAATAATATTTTTCAATACTAAAGGATTTCTATGATTTCTATAGAGATGGAGTTTTAAAACTTTTACATGCTACTATTTGAAAATCCATAATTCAGACATATCAAAGGGCCAGATAAAAGAGTCTGTAATATAAAGGTGTTCTCAATATTGTGTTTGGGTCTATAAAACAAGGAATATGTATGATGATTCTGTGGGAATCTAAATATCTGTCTGTAATAATTAGAGGTGTCTTTAAGGAGAGGTTCCACTCTATTCATGGATGAATGAATTAATTGATATGTGGAATTAAATTGGCTGAAGCTGATAAGATGTATGTTTTTTGATTACAGGACCTACAGAAAACTATTACATTAGCAGAAAAAGGAAGGCAAAGGGAAATAAAAGAACAACAGGAAAGACATAAAAAGGCTGCAGAAGAACTAAAGATTGTCAGAGATCAAGTTGCATTTCTCCAAGAAAAATTAAAGGTAATGTAATTACGAGGGAATTCATTAATAAATAATAATACGAGTTGACTACTGGGGTGGATCCAAGATTTTTAAAAGGGAGTTGACTGTTACAGGGTACCTCACGCAATACCACAAGAAACCAATAAAAGGCAGGAAAATGGTGAAAGAGGCACCTCGAATTGACGGAAATTAAATTGGAGTGCTTTAAGTAAAACAAGTTTATCCCAGATAAATGCTTATTGCTTATTTGCCCTCCCCCCTTTCCTCGTCCCCTCACCAACTTTTTGTTCAACCCTTGGACTTGGCACAAGCACAAAAATGTAATCTTTGTACTGGCATCTTAACTTTGTTTCATAAATCATGCCTGCTTTACAAGGGTAGCACTTGATAGCCAGCGGCAAACACACCTGTGGCCCTTGGTCCATGATCAAATTCAAATATATTCAAAGTTGATTTTTGTGGAGGAAGGAAAACTGATTACATTTTACCAGTTCTTTTAGTCAGTATTGAGAAAAATATTCAAATCTACTTATACTTATGTTACAGGAAAAAGAAAAAATGTTGGACAACACAAATGTTTATTATGGAAGTATCCAAAAGAGATTTAAAAAATCAAATCCACTTGCTCTTCCTCCTGTTCGACCAGAAGACTTGCATTCAATGAAGGATATTGAAAGTACTGTGCCTCATTCCGACAAAAAGAGAAGCAATGTTTTCATAACAAATGGCTCAAGTGATGCAAGTTCATATATGGCAGAAAGTGAAGTTGGGAAAAGACAGAATGACAATAAAAATGGTGTTTCAAAAAGACTTGATTTCGAAAAGATGGAGGATACACGACTAAGAGAAGTCCTCGAAAGGGAAGAAAGAAGAAGGAAAGAAGAAGAGGATGCAAGGAAACGAGAGGAGGAGCGTAAAAGAGAGCAAGAAGAGGAGTTTGAAAGAATGAGACAGATGAAAAAGAGGCAAGAGGATGAAAAGAAGAGACTAGAAGAAGAGAGAAAGAAACAAGAAGAAGAAAGAAAGAGGCAAGAAGAGAAAAAGAAACAACAAGAAGAAAGACGAAAAGAAGAAGAAATGATCAGAAAAAAGAGAGAAGAGGAGGAAAGAATAAGGAAGGAAAAAGAAGAGCAAGAAAGGTTGAAATTTAAAGAAGATGAAGAAACAAGACGCAAAAAGGACCTTCTGCTTGCTCGCATGAGAGCTATAGATGGAGAACATAGTACTAAACCAAATGGAATCATTGACATTGATCTTGGTTCAAAATCTCGAGAAGAGAAGCCAAAGAAGCTGCCAATTTTTTTACAGGGTTCAGAAAAACCCAAAGAAACTGGGGTTTCTCATGACAACGAAAAACTTAAAAATGGCTCCAATACTTCTGTACGATCAAAACATAGTCAAAGCTCTTCGTACGACTTCAAAGAAACCATTCAAAATCTACACCATGGACTTCCTGCTCACCCTTCTGATCAACATCTACGTTCCGTTGCTCCTAAGGGTCGAGGGGACAGCCTTGGTGAAGATGATCTAGTATTCGGATCATATAAACCATCAGTTGTAAAACGTGAAGTCAAAAAATCGGACACTTTTGGTTCATACAATCCTTCTTTCAGTGATTCAAAGGACACTGGACTGGATTTTAGTAGAAAGCAAGAGCGCAGTAAAATTTCCTCTCCATCAAAGGATAATGAACTCCTGTTTGGGTCTTACCAACCAACATTTGGTGCAGCTAAGGGAAATGATGGATCCACAAGAAGAGGTGGTAGGCGAGGTCGAACCGATCTAGGTCAAAACTCAAACTCAATTTTTGGGGACGATTTCTTAAGTAACAACAATTCAAAAGAAAAGCAATCGAAACCTCTATTCAGTGAAGATTCTTTTAACAAATCTAATGACAAGTCATATCCTTGGGAAAAAAAGGTCAATGTTGCTAAACAATCAGTTGACGAAAGCTTGTTGCCAAGACGACAGAAGATCCAGCAGAGTGTGAACAAGGGACATGAGCAGAATGTACCTGCCGTCAAGAATGTTTTGAATGATACTATAGATGATGATATAGAGGAAGTGACATTATAAAATAATTATTTTTCCAAAAATGTTTTAAAAGAATCTATGTGTGCTGTGTGTGTGAGAAAGAAAGAAAGAAAACTGATAGAAGAAGAAATAGAAATACAAAATTAATAGTGACAAGAACTTTTGTACAACATAAACTTCTGGATTCTGAAATATCAGAGTAGAAATATTTATTATTTTAYGCAGAACACCATTCTTAATTTATACATGAAAAGATATGGATATCAAAATATAATTATTTATGTGTTGTGTGCAACAAAATAAATATACATTATGCCCAAGTACTTCTACTGGTTGGTGTAGCAGATAGGTATACTAACCATACATCCCCTCTACCAAACTTACTGTCATCTTATTTTGGTCAGTTCATTTTATCAAATAATCTTTTCTATAATTTTGTTACATGTTAACATCCAGCATGGAAGCCCAATTGCACCTGAAGATGTAAAATAATAAAAAAGTAAAAATGAGAGGCCATATTTTATTCTAAAAACTCCGCATATTTTTAAGGATTTTAYGACCATCACTCCCCATATGGGGCTCTTCTTTGAGGTTCACTCCACACACACTACCACTACATTCTTTATTTACAACATACAACACTCAACTCATATGTTGATTTTTACAGATCTAAGAGGCCTATTCTCCACTCAGCACACTAGCTAACCTGGGGGGAGGGGGGAGGGGAAGAATTTACAGTTCCATGCACAGATGTATTTATTTTTTGCTTCAAAGTGAGCTTCGTTTGTACTTGCTGCAATGCAACTTAGTTTCTTGTTTAACAACTTACCTGAAATACCAGTAGGTAATGAAAGGATAAAAGTGAAGGGATAGAACCACTGGTGTGGCAGGATGATTACGGGATCTTTCCTGTACATTATCAGGAAGGTGATGTGGATTGCAAACTGCAAAAAATATTGATTGATATTGATTGGAGGTCTAAATCTAAATTCAATGCATCATGGGTGGCRTATGCTGCTAACATGTCGTCTTTCACCGCTCTGAGTCTAAATGTTCAGATTGCTGGTTCGAGCCCTGCGGTTCGCACATGTGAATTGAGTTTGTTAAATGCGTTCTCTCCTTATGCTACAGGCATTTTCTCTGGTTTAATTCCTCCCTCCCTCCCTGTGCATAGAATATTGAATGTAGTGGTAGTGTGTGTGAGTGAAAAGTGTCCCCAATTAGTGCAAAAGCACTAGAACGACTAGACTAACCAAAGAGATTTATTCATTTATTCTTATGAATATTTTTTAGAATTTTACTTACAATTGACATCATAATTAATACTTTTGATATTAGCTTATGTTTTCCTTCAGCCTTTCTTCTTTCTGAACCTGAAAAAAAAGGAYACTAAATGAAAGTCTAGCAAAATTAATGCCCATTGTGGCTGACGATACCAAAAGCATGCCTGATGGGGGGTAGGTTTGGAATGTCTATGTTAATCCTTAGCTATTCTGTGGTCTGAGAATGAGATATTACACTGTTTTTATTTATTTATTTATCTAACTTTGCCTCCAGTTCAAAATACATGTATGAAGGAAAAAAACAAAAACGACAAAAGAAACAACAAAAAACAAAAACAAATATAAATACAAGTTCTGAGGCAGGGAAACTGCAACAGCTTATGCCAATTAGTGCAGACCCTTACTGAGATGTAGTATTGAGATGTAGTACAGAGATGTAGTACGGGATGTAAAGCAGATCTGACAGGAATATATCTACATGCAAAGCTGATACCCACCAAATGAATTAACTTCATCTTTCAGTTTGTCTATCTTCCTCTGAAGTCTAGCATATTTAGCAAATTCATCCTTTAAAAAGAAAATTGAAAATGAGATAGCAAAAAACACAAGCTTCCGCAAGGTAACCTTGGTTTGATGATCGGCCCAGAGGTTGTTTCAGTATTCAATACTACCAAAATCACTCAACTGTTAGCACCGCCATAATAACAGTTGATGGAGTTTTAAATTTTGATAAGCTTATGCGACCATTTGGAGACTAATGATAAATCTTTTGTAAAATTCATCCAACATGGCGGCTTTGGTAACCATCAATTACTTTCCTCCCATCCCTGGCCTCCTTCCATTTATTTTTTCATTCTCATATACACATATATTTATATTGCTGTCAATCGTGTTTATATCTACCTGTGCACTGATAAGTTGTTGTTCTGCTATGAGTTTCTTCATTTGAGCAACTGATTCATCTTCTTTCGGGTCACTTTTATTCAAAATTCTAATGATCTAAAACGAGAACCACAGTCACGTCAACGAAAAAATGTTTAGTTGAACTCCCTCACAAATTAATACAAATATTCGCTAATACGTCGTTGATCTAGATTTGAAGGCTTTCTTACATACAAAAGGAATATCACCTCACCATAACGGCTGCCTTTGACAGCATTTTATTGAATATCCGTAGAGTTAAAACATAAAGAAAAACGAAAATAGTCATTGACATCCCTTCTGCTGCCATCTTGCTTTTTATTTGGGATCATCCGCTGATCTGATCGCTGACGAGCACCACAGGGTGCCCAAGCCTAGAACAAATAAAACAGTCTTTTTAGAGTTTAAAAATTAGATAAAAAACTTCATTTCTAGACACTATAAGATACTGAAATCGATGTTCTTGAAAGTTAATATTCGCCATGAAATCAAGGTAAATTCAAACAGTGCTTTTGTAAAGGCAACGAAATAAAAGCCGCAGGGTTCCCAGCTGAACCCATTCTCGTTCTAGGCTCCCTGTGGTCCTTCCCTCTCACCTTGTGTTTAGGGACGTGTTTGGGGACGTGCTTGGGGTTGTTTGGCAACAGTCGTGCTCGTTCGACTCTTTTCGGGTCACTTCATACGTRAGGTAAGTCAGGAATGATGTTTTGGATAATATTAGTGGATATTTAGAGGTACTGGCTTACTCTCTGGTAGTCCTTTTAGATTTGTGACACCCTAAGWGGTACCAAATTGCAGATCTGGAACGACAAGCATCCCTGCCCTTCTCCAACCTGAGTACCCCCCTCCCACCCCACCCTGGATTTTCAAGTACAATATTTAGGCTACCTCCCCCTGAAGATTAGATTACTGCTCAACATTTTCAAGTTGTATTAAACCCCTGACACTTCATATGGTAACAAGCACTACACCTAATAAGTAAAGCTGATTTGATATTTATTTTAGCATACTAAATGGAGCCAAGTGAAGAATCTTTATTTTACTTTTTTCTCTAATACAATTTATATAATATATGACATGTGCAAACATATATTTTAATGTATTTACATAAATGGATTGAAAATATGCAAAACTCTTGGGCCATTATAAATATTTTTACYTTTTTATCTTATCTTTATTAATGTATTATTRTATTTTAATAACTTTAATACTTTTATAGCTTAATTAAAATAAAGCTTCTGCTTAAAGAAATGTACACATATGGAACATTTTTCTTGCTAAATTTTTGTGTTTATAATACACTCAACAAAATATTTCTATTCTTCGATTGCATGTTATGTCATYGCGGCCTCTCGGGGGAGCGTTGGTGCCATTTAACAAAAGATTTCTTATTAGCATCCATTGTTAACGGCACCACAATGGCCGCCATGCTTTTGTCTTTTAACTCGACTCTTAGGAATGCTTGCAACCCATCAATTCCAGATTGGACAAGAGGAGTACAATTAAATCGTTTTATACTCTGTGGAGTGCCAATTAAATTGCTCATTTTTGTTGAATGTATCATAATTACAGCATTTCTCAATCACACGTGTGAAAACACGAAAAAAATTTTGAGACATAGTAGAGTTTTGGTGGACGCCAATCAAAGTGTTTCCCAGCATTGTTGGAAAACACAAAGCTTTTAAGGGCACGTGCCCATGGAATGACATGGAAATGCATTGATTGACTTCCACCAAAACCTACTTTGCCACAATGGTAAATTGTATGATTTCATGCATGTGATTGAGATAGCGCTGTAAAAAAATCGCAAGATCTTCTTGTACAATTCACAATTAATAGATACTCCTAATGTTTTGAAAATTCTCAAATTTAACTGCATGTTCTAAGGCTAGAGGTGATCTATTGCTCAGTGCTTTCATTATAAATATTTTTACTTTTTAATCTTATCTTTATAAATGTTGTATTTAACTTTAATGTCTTTTATAGCTTAATTAATCTAATTAAAAGCTTCTGATTAAAGAAATGTACACATAGGAAAAAGACAGTTGATGGCACTGCTGAATCTTAATACACCGTATATAGATAATAATTATCTTAAATATTGCATAAATAACTTTAAGTTGAAGTCGAACAATTTTGTAAATTCTTCTGTTGTAGCTGGTTAGCAGGAGGACTCTGTAAAATGTTAAAATACGAGCATTGATTAAACCATTTTGACTCAAATAATTCTGAAACCTTATATCTGTGACTTTTATAAATATAGTTCTGCAATTTTCATAAACATGTGAACTCTGTTTCTGTGAGTTGCATGCTGAAATTTGGGTTTTTTGCTGCCTCCAGTCAAAAATTTGAAAGGTACCAACTGATTAGGTTTGATTGATGGCAGCGAAAAACCAAATTTGCAGACATGGAGACTGTTCGCATGTTCGCATGTTTATGAAAATTGCAGTTAAGTATGACACTTATGACTGTTATGACTATTCAAGTAATCTTACCTGAGTCTGGTTTATTTAGTGTATTTTTCCCAAATTTTGATAATGTGGGCTCTCCTAACCCTTTCTCTGTTGGATACAAAAAGATAAATTATAAATTCTCGGCTCTCATCATCAATCCCTCGTCTATGGCCATCTATCTGACATATATCTTTCATCTACCCACCTGTCCATTCATTTATTCTCCCACCCATCCATCCACCTATCTATCCATTATATATCCACCCATCTACTCATCCACCCTCCAATAATTGGAGGAATAAAATGATGGATGGATTGGTGGCTGGTGAGAGAAGATGGATGGATGGATGGATAGATAGGTGGGTGGGTGAGTACATTGACAGATGGATAGAAGTATGACTGTAGCGGGTAGTAGGTGATGAGTAGATGGATAGATGATGATATAAATAAATTTTTATTTAATAAATACATTTTTATTTATATCATCATCTATCCATCTACTCACCTACTACCCACTACAGTCATACTTCTATCCATCTGTCAATGTACTCACCCACCCACCAATCCATCCATCCATCCATCTTCTCTCACTGGCCACCAATCCATCCATCATTTTATTCCAGTAGTCAAACTCACCCTGACAGAAAGCCCTAAGCTGTTCATTTTGCTGGATAAGCAAYTCCTCTCTGGTCTTTGCTCTTCTTAATTCAGTATTCAAACTGTGACACTGGTCTTTTACAAGTTCTAATTCTTTCACAAGTGATTCACACTTATCCTGAGATTTTCCCAATTCACAGCTAAGCTCGTTACACTTGGCTCGGGTTCCTTCCAGTTCCTCTCTCAATGTAAAACACTGATTCTGAAGTACATCAAGCATGTTGCTTTGTGTAAAAACATTCTTTTTTGCATTATCRAGCTGTGCTTTGAGTGCTTCACACTTTTTCTTGCTCAATACAAGTTCACTTTGCAAAGATYCTAAATTCTCTCTTGTTGTTTCTAGTTCTTTCATGAGCTGGGAGTAATGGCGCTTGGCATTGATGAACTTAATTTTCTGCACACAGTACTTCATTTTTGAGCCATTCAGCTCTTTTTGTAAGACTTTGATGTATTCTGCCGAGCTCTCAATGGCTGCATTAGAATTATCATTTTCATGCTTTGCAGCATCAAGTTTTTGCTTCAAGTTCTCACATCTCTTTTTCACGCTATCAAGTTCATTTTCAAGCTGGTTACACTGCTGTCGATAATTACTGAGCTCTTTTTCAATTGCAGCACATTTTGCATTGGATTCTTCCAGTTCTGCAACAAGGGCTTTATGATGGGCCTGTGACTGTTGCAGTTCCATTTCTAGAGTCTTCACTCGTTGTAGAACCTTATTTCTACTGCGTCTTTGTGACCTCTCTAGGCCCTTTGTCACTATATAAGTTTCCTCTCTTCTTGGTAATGCTGAAGATCTATAAATAAGGCGCCATCGCCGGGCAAGTCTAAGTACCTCGTACGCCTTCTCTGACAAATCAGGGATGAGTCTTAAGATTAAATCAAAATCGTGACACTTATTTCTTATTGCCACGAGATAAACCTTTTTGCCACTGCTGGTAGAAAATAGCTTCTCATTGATGACACCGACAGACAACAATTCTTTCCAATTCTTTAAGACCTTGTCCAGTTCCATAGGAACACCCTTCAATGTTCCCGTCATTTTCTCATTGAGGARAAAGTCTCTTAGTGGCTCATACACTGCTTTTGTAAAACAATTGAGAAGCTCTTCATATCTTTCACACCAGTCTTCAAATTTTTCTAAGATGTTCGTGTCTGGTGAAGTTATACTTGGCAGTTTTGGAAAGAGAAGCCCTCGTGACTTGATGTTTTTCTCCCAGGAATGTAGTTCCATTACATATCTTGAAGAGAAAAGAAATATTAGAAGAAAACGTTTGTGAGAAACATTACCTTTCAACAATGTGTATATTTGAGGAGGGTATATTGTGTAG